GCACTTTTGGCCAGCGGGAGAGTTGTGAGGTTCGAACTCCAGGAACCTGAGGCTGACAGCTTTGTGGAAGCAGCCACTTAAAGGACTGAGCTAGGACCAGGCCCCCTACCATATACTTCTTATCTCTACTATTCTTTTGTTAGATGACAGCCCTTCTGGTATTCCTGATTGCCGTTCAGTGTTAGCAAATCAGTGTTAGCAAGTCAAATTCTAGCACAAATCAGTGGTGCCACCCCTTCTGCTTCTGTATCATAAATGTGAGGATTTTGAGCCTGCATCAGTGTGGGGCCTAATACTTCTGATGGTGATTCCCAAAACGGTCTTAAATAATCCTGAACTGCAGTCATGAAACCAGAATGTGAAATTATAGTGCTAATAACTCTTTCATGAGGTAATTTAGGAAGACAAAGTTTTCCACATCATCTTAGTAAATTCTTTGATTGACACAAAAGTATAGAACTTTATTAACCATCTGACCCAAAGGAGGAATGAACCGCTACTGCAGTCACAGGTGATCGAGAAAAGGCAGGCAACTATGTTAAGGCAATCAGGTGCTCACCACCTTTCATCTGGCAACTCCAGGGACTAAATGTTGACCTCCTACAGCTACATCATTCCAAATATAGGAAGAGTGGGAACAATTTAAATGCTATATATATATTATTTTATTTTATTTTAGGGAAGTTTCTACAGGGTGTTCAGGGTCTCACTACTAGATCAGACTTGTAGTGATCCACCTGTCTACAGCCTCCCAAGAGCTGGGATTACAGGTGTGTGCCACCACACCCAGTCTCAATTGCCATTTCAGCATGCCCCAGGGGTGGGGCTGGCACGGCAGGCCCAGGGATCAAACCCTAGCCCCTGTGCTTGCTTGCAGGTGCTTTAATCTGCTGAGCTATTTGGCCAGCCCTAAATGCTTAATATTTAAGGACTATTGAAAACTTGCTAAGATGAGCTAAGATACAAATGTATGGAAACAAGAAAAAACTATAAATAAGTTTCTTATAAAGATTAAAATATAGAAAACCTGTAATAAAAATGTTTTTACAATAAGAGTAAAACAAATACGTTAAAAGGATTAGTAATTGCAATGCAAATGTTCTTTGTTGTCTTTTATGGGCATTACACTGAGATAGGCATATAAGTATATATTAAGTGTGCATACAAATCGGAACAAATATATACATACACTGGAAACACTGTTTATGAATAAACTATGCTAATTAAATAGGATACATATCTTGGAAAAATGAGGATATTTCTTTTTGTGGGCTCCACTGTCCAAATGGGGGCCAGACATAGAAGGATGCAGTCCTTCTTGCTGCAGACTGTCTCACCTAACTGTAGATTATGACGGTCAAGCAAGGTCACCTGGCTGTGCTGTGTCACACAGGACAGCCTCAGAGCCCTGGCTGCTGTACTGGTTAATGAGAGGAACACTGTGAATTCTGTGCCTGTCTGTTCAGCATCTGGAGTCCTTGGTTTCAGCACTAGAAGTGACAAACAGAGCTGGGTGAACAAAGCTATTTGAGGACACTGGGGGAAGACAGGAGGAACACGGGTGGCAGGGGTTCTCAGGACCCCAGCTCTGAAGGTGACAGAAGTCATGATGAACAGAATGCAGCACTTAACAGGGACAAGAGTGCCATCTGCATACACAGAAGCCATCTACGTACTTGAAGAGGGAATAAATTCTAAAGAGAAAAGACTGGGCGAGGAGGGCTGTGGGGGGCTGCTAGGCAAGCACCCTTGGGTGGCCGCAAAGCCAGCAGTTATTCCCAGTCAACTTTTAAGGCTCTGCCTAAATCTGCCGGAGGTGTAGAAACGCATGGACTATGACTCTGAGTTAGCCCTGCCCTTCCCTTGCTGGGATGCTGGGGCTAGTGTGGAGCAGACTGCTTCCCTGTAAGGTCAGCATTCAGAGCCTCCAGGGTCAAAGGTGAAGTTCACTCCAGCAACTCTTAGCGGACACTTAACGATTCATAAAGTAGCCCAAACCCTTTCAAGAAAATAGCATCAGTGCCCTTATCAGCATGATACAGAACCTTTTCTTAACCTATAAATAAAAGGCAGCTGAATTAAAATTCCTGCTTGCTCCCAGTAGCAGATAATTAACTGCACATCCAACGCAGAGGAGCCACAGAGCACTGACCCAGGAACCCTGGGCTATGCAAAGTTCCCGGGAGGCTGAGAGTCGTGCCCATAAGCACTACGACTTTTATATTTCATTGCTACGCTCTCTCCATTTTAAGAAGTTCTGATTAAGTTAGCATTATACTAACATCAAAATAACTTTCAAAGAAAAAGAAATCACCCATCAGCCTGCCCGGATGCCAAACCTTTTACCGTGCTCACAGGCAACGCAACCTACGAGTCGCAGTCACGCTGGGTTTCATGCAACAGAGCTGGGCTTTTTAAAAGGCTTTACTTAACATTTCTTAATAATACGTTCTGCTGGACTTACTCGGCTTGTTCATTTAATTAACATGTATTATGAGAAATTCAGTGTAACTTAGAGGGCCATTAAAATGTGAAAATAATACAGTCCTCCAAAATATATACCACAAAAGGCATTTTAACAAAAAGAGCAATTTTTAGACACTTTATAATTCACATGTTAATACTGCTTTTCACCTTACCTCTTCTCCAGACAGATAGTAGGCTGACAGCAGTCCACCAACAAAGCGTATATTTACTTCAAAAACAGAAATCTCAGCATTCTGTAGAGACAAAATGAAAAGGTTCAAAAATGATCACTGCTGGTCTTAACAATCCAGCAGAAAAGTATAAAAAAGGGTATAAAAAGTAAAGCCGTATTAATATGCTGAGCCGTGAAAGGCTCAAATAACCCACTACTATCATGCACTACTGGACTATATTGGATTATTTTGCTGAATTCACGCACCTACAATATTTAAATGGCAATGAAATACCCATCTCTAACAAAAATAAAAAAAGGGGATACAAAGGAAGGACAATTTTGTATCTGTATATACAAAATAGGAACATATACAGCTATTTTCTCTTAATTCAATGAGAAGAAAATTTGTACTAATAGCATTTGGACAGGAAATCACGTCTGCATCTTGTACTATGAATAACCACTAAGAAGATAACAACATGCAACATATTAATTATTGAAACCGTCCTATTAATCGGTTTTGAAACTGTATCACTGCTGTTTCTCAATAAAATTAATTAAAAAATAGGATAGATATATAGCTACTTTCTCTTAATTCATGAATAGAGTTGTTCTAATAGCGTTTGTGGACAGGATATGTCTGCATCTTGTAGATGAATAACCACTAAGAAGACAACAATATGCAATGTATTAATTATTGAAATTGTCCTACTAATCGGTTTTGAAACCGTCTCATTGCTATTTGCTTCTCAATAAAATTATTTTTAAAAAACCCCCAAAATGATCACTACACATGCTTTGGAAAACCATCACTGAGATATGCTGTGCCACATGTTTAGTGTACTGAATGCTACAGGTTGCCCCAGGAGCTTACCCGCATGGGGATATCCTGTTTTTCAATAGTGTCAAAACACATTTATGTAGTTAAGAAAAATTTTGGCTCTTAGAAATTACAAAGCACTTACAAAGTTCTTTCTTCCTTGTATTCAGCAGAGATAACTGTCTCATACTTACTAGCCTCTATCTGGGTACACGTAGGAGGACCAGGGCACCGTTTCTATTGTTTCCCCTTGACCCTACCCCTCTGGGCGCTCTTGCGCCTTTGTGTGGCTGACTGGCCTGGCCTGCAGTGGCAGTGCCGCCCCAGCCCAGCACCCTCCTCCCCTTCTGTTACAGCAGTACGCACAATATGAAGGCATCAAAGCCAGGGATCTGGGGTTCTTGTTTGCCAACTTTCAGCCTATGACTTGGGCTGGCTGCCCCTCTCTGAGGTGATATTTTGTCTTGGATAAAGGAGGTAATAATAATAACGGACGTTGGGGCCGGGGAGACGGCTCAGTGGAATAAGCGCTTCACTGGCAAGCACAAGGGCCTGAGTTCAATCCCCGGTTCCGCCAAAAATAAAAACATAAAAAATAATGGATGCTGTATCTGGCTGCCACTGCTCTTACTTATTCTCTAGTAATAATTTGCTTTCATTATTACTTCCATTCTGAATATGTTTTTCATGCTCATTCTGATCTTATGGATTAATTAGCATCTCACAACATTTCAGAGATGGAAAGACTTGGACTTACAGTGAGGAATGTACCTTTCTGAAGGTCAGACAGTTGGCAAGTGACAGGATCAGGGTCTGAACGCAAGTCCTCTGGCTTCCGGTGCTGAGTCCTGAGGTTCTCACAAGCTGAGCACCCTGCCTTTACGTTAGTAATCACATAACTGTGGCACTAAAGTAGGAATTATTGTCTGTACTTTTCTTATATTTGACCACTAAATAGATCTGGCTTGCATTGCTCCTGGATAACCAGCACAGCTGACCTCTAACAGGGATAAGACACACTCAGTCTTTGGCTAACAACTCTCCATGTACATCAAGTCTCTCTGGGACCCTAACTATAACCACCCCAAACTATATGCAGACCATCCCAAGGGTAATGCACACCTTAACGTACAGTCAACACCCCTGGCAGGTGAGCTTGCTCTAAGTCATCTGAGAGTTGATTTCACTGAACAAAAATTTATGAGGGGCCTACTATGCACCAGGCCTTGTCTTAGGACAAAGGACACCACAATGAAGACTGAAAATGTGCTCAAAGTCACTGAGTCTATGTTTTGCTGGGAGGAAATATTTTCAGAAAACACAGATGATAGTCATTTCATTCCAATGTGTTCCCTATAAAAGGTATATGTATTGCACAATTATGTCTAAATAACTTACGCTAAAAAAATATTTAAAAACATTCTGAAAAGGGAAGATTGTACAAACAAGTTTGGGGAAATAATTTTTGGTCAAAGTTAGGTAAAAGAGCCAGCTAGACAGCTCAGCAGACTAAAGCACCTGCGTAGGCAGAGTGCAGGCGCTGGGGTTTGATCCCCAGCACCACAAGCCATGCTGGCCCTGCTGCTGGGGTGCACTGAGATGGTGATTGAGACTGGGCATAATGGCATGTGCCTGTAATCCCAGAGGTTGGGAGGCTGAAAGCAGGAGGATCACTAAGAGTCCGATCTACATAGTGACACCCTGTAGACCCTGTACTACATACATACATGAAAAGAAAAAGGTAAAAACATCGTAAGACTATTTAGTGACTGTTTAAAATTACTTCATAATTTGTAATATGTACCTGATGTACTTTGATTAAATGCACTCTGTACAGGTACAATTCATCCCTGAAGCATGTCACTCTGAATAAGGATCATATAAATATTGGTACAAGCTTTTTTCTTTTTCCTTTAATCAAAAGTTTATTAGCTTACAAAATATTAACAAGAGCATAAAAAACCACTTTACAGATTTGCATGTTTTCAAAGGAAGGCTGCCATCGATATGCCCATCTTCAAATTGTATCTTCATTCCCAGTTGTCCTTTCAGGGGAGAGATGGTGATACTGCTACTGCTCTTCAGTCAAGTCTCTTGGAAGACTGCTGCAGCCAGCAGCACTCAACCGTCCGAGTAGAACTGCACCGTGAGAAGCAGCTGTATCAGTTGGTAGAGGCAAGCTTCCTAGCACTACATTTGAGAGGGAAGTGGTACACCTTTCATTGTGGCAAGAATATTCATGCTGTTTAATTTTTCAAATTTAGGTGCTATTGTTCTAAATCTTCCAAGATACCATAAACTTTATACTTTGTGCTATGTAGCAACATTCCTAAGGTAGATCTAAGTTGTTGCTGCAGCAGAAACCCTTGCAATAGAGACCTATAGGCCTGGTGACATGTGGCATAGATTTTAAAGTAAGCTTTCATATCCCATGGTGCTAAGGGAGTCTAATTGCTTTTCATTATGTGTGAATGAACACTAGTCTTAGTAATTTTCCTTTACAACATCTAGAGAAAATAAATTTTACTTACCAAATTACATTCAGCACTATAAAAATACTATTCAATAAGAGGAGAAAAATTCTTTGAAATACGTAACATTCCAAAAATCACAGTGTTCCTTGAAACTTTAAAAGCAGTGGAAATATAGGACTTACACGTTCTGCATGTATTACCTGGAAATTTTAACTTTGTGAATGTCAAATGTCAACTTTTTAAGTTTATGTTTTGATCTTGTTGTCCTTTCTATTCCCTTTAATGAGCAACAGAAAAAAATATAAAAAATAAATGGTTAATATTCCAAATTTGCCAAACTGAAACATCCCAATGGAGTCTAATTCCTTTTCATTGCAAGTTAATGAACACTATTCTTAGTAATTTTCCTTTACAAAATAGAGACAATAATTTTATGTGATCAAAATGATATTTCTGAATCTTTAAAGTACTATTTTCATATGAGGAGAAAAATTCTTTGCTGCACATGACACTCCAAAGATGTTAAATTGGAAGCTTTTATACTTGCTGCACTACACTGGGAGACACATGCACAGTATTCTGCATCTTAAAATGGCTTAGAAATGTTGGAAAATCTTGTACTCCACTGTCTTTAACCATCATTGAACCATCATGTTGGTTCTCATTATGGAAATATGAACATGTTTACCAAGAGGAAAATCATCAGTGTTTGAGAAGTACAATTAAGAAATGACAAGATGCATCATAAGCCAAACATAGGTGACAGACAGTAACTGATGCTTTCTAGTTAGGATCACAAACATGACATCGACCTAATACCTAGCATTTTCCAAGAACACAAATGGCATGTGTTATTCAGCACCTTTTGGGTATAAGCTGATTAAGAATAGGAACTAGCAACTCCATGATAGCACATGAAGGAAAAACCTTGAATACCTGACAGTGCTGCAGCATACTGCGTATCAGCCTCAGGAGAGAACACTCCCACGTATGGGCCTGGTGGGTAGCTCTGTGTGGAAACTGCCCAGGACATGACTAAGATCCTGGATTTTACCCTGTGCACCCTGCAGCAAACTATTTCCTTGGTAATTTAAAGGTGATATGACAAAATCCTAAGGGGATACAGAGCAGTATGCACAGAGGGATAACAGTTGTATGAGTACTCGTTTTTATTTTATTTTTTGTGCGGAACTGGGGATTGAGAGAGTACTCGTTTTTAAAGCAGCAACACACCTCTTTTTTTGCTTGATGTGAACAGAGTTACAAACCCTGCAAAGCAGGACCACCCAGCTGAAACAGACATTCGCCCACTTCACAGACCGATGTCTCTGAGCTCCATGAGGTTTTTTGAGTAAGAGTTTAAATCTAAACTCATTTAGAACTTTAATTTTTTTTAAATTATATCTTTGATCTGTCTATGATCTAATTTAAAAAATTCAAATTTTAAATGAGTTTAAATTTGAAGTATTTCCAGAAGCTGATGAAACTCACAGACTTTGGCCTGTGAAGTAAGTAGATCTCTATGTCAGCGGGGTGCTCCTGCTCTGCAGTGTTTGCAGCACTGCTCAGATCAATCAAGAAAGGTTATGTGTTCCTGCTTTTGGAAGTTTCTCTTTCATGAGGTACACCTTTCATTGTCCAGGAGTTCCTTAAATTCCTGATTATTCCTTTTGATAAAAATATTCAAATTGTTGATTTTGTTCTCCAGGCATAGGTGGTTATTTTTTCTTCATCTTTTTTGCATGAGGACATCATTATGTCATGTGTTGCTGTGTAATCGACTTC